CGATTATGTTTATTGATGGGTTCATCGATTTTATAACCTTTAAATTATTAAAATTAGAAATTAAGTTAGGTTTTATGGTGTATTAAGTATCTAGTGAGCTAAACGGTACTTTAACAATGCAACACCCCGTGACTAAAGTACTTTAACCACGGTTTTGACTGTTTGTGATTAAATTACCCTTTTTTAAGTCTCAAAACCATAGAAAAACTTTAATTTTAACAACGCTACAATGCAACACCCCGTGACTAAAGTATTTTAACCACTGTTTTGACTGTCTGTGATTAAATTACCACTTTTCAAGTCTCAAAACCGTGGAAAAAGTGACAATTTAAATGAGGAAGTAGAAAAAACAAACATTTTAAGCGTTTTTGTTATTTACCTTTGCTGCAGTTGCTGATTTGGCACGTTGTACATCATGCGGCCTGAACAAAAACTGTCTATTGAGGTTACTCTTCTCAATGAGGTCCATATCAGTAACAGTAAGTTGTCCACCATCCCCAGCGACTCCCATCATAGCGAAATTCTTGAGTAATTCGCAGCCGATTGCACCGGCACCAACAACAAAGTACTTTAATGCACCTAAAAATATTTAAAAAAATTATTACAAGTTAATTTTGCAGTTTTTAACTACATACCAAGCTTTTTCTGGAAATCCCTCCCAAAAACAGCAATCTGTGCGTCGTATCTTGACCCAATGGGCGCCGCAGTTTCCTCAGTAATCTCCTCCTTATCCTCTGGCAGACATTCGATTGCATCGAAGTATAACCATTGGAAAACCGGATGGAATTTACCCGAACAAGCCTTCATCACTTCCTGTGCGACAATTCCACCGATCGTCGCATTCATCGGATTCAAATCCCCAGAAGAAACCTTCGCGAAAGTCTCCAACAGCTGACTATTGACTTCTGTATCATTACCACCGTCAACAGCGACTGATTTAGCAATAGCTAAAAATTCCTCTGCATCTTCTGCACACCATGGCTTCGGTAATCTATTAAACTTCTCTTGATACTTATGCAAAGCATTGAAAGCAATATGCAACTGTGCAGGATGTTCAAACTTAGCAAAATCAGTGATCAAAAACTCTGGTTCTCTAATCGACTCAGCCAGAGGTTTAAATGCTAAGACTTTCGGCATTTTCACCTGTTGGGCAATACCGCCACGTTCATACTTCCCGTAGGCAGTAGTATCGCCAATACT